TCTGCCTGATGCGTCTTGTCCTATAGCTTGGCATCACCAAGAGGAGCCTGGCCCCATCCTCTTGACACTGTCTCTTCAGGTACTTATGAACAATGATGAAGTCTTCTCAGTCATCTCTTCTCAAGGCTGAACAGCCCTGGCTCCCTCAGCCTGTCCTCATAAGATAGATGCTCCAGCCCCTTAATCATCTTTGTTGCTTTCCACTGGACCCACTCCAGGAGTTCCATGTCTCCCTTGTATTGAGAACTGGACACAGCACTCCAGAAGTGGCCCCACCAGCACTGAGTAAAGGGGCAAGATCACCTCCCTGGATCAGCTGGCAGTGCTGTTCCTGATGCACCCCAGGATACCATTGGCCTTCCTGGCCACCAGGGCACCCTGGCTGGCTCATGGACAGCTCGTCCACCAGGACCCTCAAGTCCTTCTCCACAGACCTGCTTCCCAACAGGTCAGCCCACTGGGGTATCAGCCACTCCTCACAGCTCTGTGTCATCAGTGAACCTGAGCACTGTTGCTAAGAGCATTATTGCTGAAATATGGAATGCATGGGTTTAGCTCATTCAGGCTTGATGAGGTTTCCAGGTGCAGTATGTGAAGCAAAGCAGATCAGATCAGACTGAGATTCACCAGGACTTGAAACACTAGTCTGTCAGGAATTGTTCTTAAGCACTGTCTTGGGTACCATTAATTTGAGGAGAGATACCATCTCACAGCATATGTCTCTCTCAGGCATCATGCACTTCTGCTGTCTAGGAAGCATCTTTCACACAGAAATGGTTACTGTTGATTTTTCTTAAAACATTTTTTCAGTCTTCTGTACTAGATGTCCTATGGCCTTTAAATCTGCCTTCTCATAACCGTGTTTGTGTTCTCTCCAACCAGTGAAAACCCAGCCCATTCTTAATCATTTTACTGGAACAATGTGCATTTAAAAAAAATGTAACTTCTAGATACTATCTAAATTGCATTCAGTTGTCTCCAGGCAGAGAGTTCACAATGCTTACTAGTATTTAAATGCCTTGCTTTTGCTGTTGGAGTCACTTTGTTATGTGTCCTAACTGTACTCCAGCTCTACCTCCTTGGAATATATTCTAATAATACATAAATGGCATTCAAATCACCAGCACATAACAGAAATTTCTTGTTTTAACTGCACCTTATGTATAATTAACACTTTAAATAATTTCCCTGATGTCTAGCAATGCCTTAGTGTGATTTCTTACCTGTCTCTTACTTGTATAAAATGCTAATGAAGCCACCAGACCTGAAGAACAAATCCACCCTAGGACCAGGGCCTCAGTTTCACAATGTCTTAGTTTTTGTCTATGTGCCTTTCAGGTGGTGTTCAGGGACAGTCTTTATGAATCCACAGAAAATTCTTCTCATAAAACCATAGGCAGTGCAAAAGAACTTTCTGAAATTATTCTTAAATGCATTTTGAATTGACTTGCACATTGACTTCACAACACATTTATGCAGTAGTCTGTAAAATCTGTAGTATATATGTATTCCATTGCCAATAGCATTGTTTTTAAAACATTCCAGATCATCCCCAGTTCATATATGTGCTAACATTTGAAAAGGATACAACAAATTCATTTTAGTATGTGTCTGGTAACATGCTTTACAGTTTTCTGTGGATACATCAAATAAAACTGAGCTTCATACAGTAAGTTTCATGGGAAACAATAATATTTGGCATTTCTTTAAAAAAAAACCCTAGTAATTTTCTTTCCTTGTTCCTGTATGATTTTTTTTTATACCAAAGGTCCAATTTTCCTAATATTTACAGATCCAGTGGGATATAAAAGAAGATAATTTCAGAATCAGATCCTAAATTTCTTCCTCTGAATCTCAGAATTACGGAATTATTTAGGTGGGAACAGACCAGCAAGATCATTGAGCACAACCTTTGACCAAACACCACCTTGCCAACTAAACCACAGCACTAAGCGCCACATCCAGTTATTTTGGAACACTTTCAGGGATGGTGTCTCTACCCCCACCCTGGGCAGCCTGTTCCAATGCTTAACAACCCTTTCCATGAAGAAATTTTTTCTGATGTCCAACCTGAACCTTTGTTGGCCTTTCTAGTGAGAGTGGTGTTTATTCCCCACTGGCACACACCTGTAATCTACAATAAGTTTGTTTGGAAAAAGGCAGTTGTTTTGCCCCAGAAGATGTGAGGAGAGCACTCATGGTGCTCATGGAGTGTTAGGTGAAGCAGGAGTTAGCATCCTGCAAAAACTGCTGTGGGAACCTGAATATCTGCATCTCCTTCAGGTGGGACTGGATCATACCTAAGCACAAGTAGTAGGAAACTGTGCATGAAGGAAAATGTATAGAAGAAATTCCTTACTTGAAATTCTCATGAGCTATAAAGAGAAGAAATCAAAATTACAAAATAATCTGACCCTTTTTAATCTATTTTCATTGTTAGAAAAAGGAGGAATTACATGGAGGCTTAAACCTAGAGAGAGAACTAGTAGATGAACTGTGAGTTCAGGACAGCTGAAAGTTCATCAGAGATCCACTGCTGAAAGGCAGAGCTGCAGAATTTGATCTGTACAGAGGAGGGGAAGGAAGTGAGATAAAGATTAAGCTGGATGAATCATGAGAACTTCAGTGACCTAAAATAAAATAGAAAGTAGGTCAACTTACTAAATTATTAATAAATATATAGACTATGTATGGACAAAACCTGAAAGATAAGCTTCCAAAAAGTTAGAAAATTGGACTTTAATGAAAGCAAGCCTGTTGAGAAGATGCACAGTGATAATACTAAGGAAAAAATTGGTCTGTTATTCCACAGAGGGGAAACTCTATTTAATCATCACTGGTGATGCTGATGCTTTCAACATCAGCCTTCAACTTTAGAAGGCAAATGTGATTTCACTCCAGCACCACTGACAAAAGTCCAAGGCTAGAAAAAGGAATAGATAAACTGGAAAACGCGTAGGCAAGTTAAAAGATTTTTGGACAGACTGGACCTGGTGAAACTCCCTTATGGTTCAAACTATGCTAAAATTGCTACTGATTATCTCCAAGAATCAACAGAATGAGTTTCCAGAAAAACCAAAAGGGATTGCATCTCTCTCAAAGGAGGGAAGGAAATACCTATAGAAACTGATAAAGTGGATTTCTACTAAATAAAGAGGTTTTAACAGGCTTTGTGGATGGGGGAGAAAGATTGAGGATCATTAGAGTTTCTTATAATGTGCTCTTAACAGAAAACCCCCAAACAGTCTAGGCAATATAAATACAAAATTATTTGGAAATTATTAGTACTCCAGAACTGAAAGAAGACATTGAACAGGATTTCACTTAGATCCATAACTATCCGGGACTCAACATCATTGATGACTGAACAGATGACTGAACTTCTATTTAGAGACTGTACCAGTAGGAAGAGGCTCCAACTATGTTGGAGCACAACATTAAAATTAAGAGTGATCTTGGCAGACTGAAGCAACTGGAAAAAAAAGCCTGCAAACAAGGATAAACAGAAGGTTTTACACATCCAAAGGAATAATCAACTGCACAAGTATGTAGCAGGATAAAAAAAGCAGTTCTATGGATCACAGGCAGTGCTAGACTACCTCATTGTGTTGATGCTGGAATGCATAAATAGGAGTATCACAAGTAAGATAAAGAAAAAATAATTTCAATCTATCCAGCTGTTTTTATGTAAACTGGAACAGTCTGCTCAGTTTTCAGGACTACAGTCCAGGATAATTAAAACCAACTCAAGAACTTTAAGAGGAGGGAGACAAAAGGGCAAAATATTCTGAAAACCCAAACTACAAGGGGAAGGTTGGGAGTTCTCTTGAGAGAGAAGAGAAAAGAAAGAGAGGAGAGGCAGAGGTGCTCACCTACATCAAGAGGAAAGGGAGAACCTACTTTCCATGTGTACCAGTTAGGTCAGGTATTAGGAAATTTCCTGCTTACCAGACCAGTTAAGTAAGGACTGTTGCCACGCAGAGACACTCTGAAATCTCTGCTACTGCAGGTCTCTGATCATCTTCTTGCATTACATCAGGGGCAGCTGATCAGAGGCTGAGATAGGATGAGAACCTATTTAAGACTCTTAAAATCCCTTTCAGCACTATTTCCTTCCTCTACTACGGTTTTAGTGAAGTCAGTTCCTTGTTTTTAGATCTTGTGAAAAGCACTAGCTTCAGTGACTGGCCATGATGAATAGTCAGGAGCAGCTGTAAATACACAGCCTAGACTATCCTTTTGCACCATTTCTGCAGGCACATTAACCAGGGTAGGGGCACATGAACCTGGCACTATGCTCAGGCACATTTTGGTCCCATGTGCTCAGCTCCCTTTCTCAATAACAAATTTAATAATATTTTGATATTATGACAATCTGCAAACAGCCCACAAAAAAGAAGCAAGCATATTTCAGAATGTTAGTGGCATTTCAAAACAGTAAGCCAGTGGGGTTAGTTATTTTTGATGTGCTGGGATGGATCAAAACACAATTCTGCACAACAGCATTAGTCATTCATAAATGGTGATAAAACAACCACATCTCCTATGCAAGGAAAAAAAAAAAGACAGTATAGTTGCCACAATTCTTTAGATTTCTCAACCTGTGTTTGTTTTTTGCTTATCTTGCAGGTTTGAGTTGTGCTTGCTTTGCTTTTGATAAAGAAAAAGTAGCCACCATCCTGATTCTGCCCTTGTTTAAAATTAAATATTTTCCATGGATTTTAAAGATATTACAAGTTTGCATAAAACAAATCTACTATGAGCAGAATCAGGTAACTTCTCTATATACACTTTAAGAAAATAACATAAATATATCACAATATCAAAAAAGCCTTTTATTGTGATCATTTGTGACAAAAAACATTTGAAAATGCAGGTATGCTGCTAACACCTGCATAAATTATTTTAAGGAATTATGTAATTTAAATAACAGAAACATTATTATTATTATTATTATTATTATTATTATTATTATTATTATTATTATTATTACTGGAGGTATTCTGTTGTTCCATGTTTTCTGAATTCTTTGGAAGGTCCAGCAACACAATCTAGTGGAAGGTGTCCCTCCCCATATTAGGGAGGTTGGAACTAGATGATCTTCAAGCTTTCTTCCAACCCAAACTATTCTATGACACCAATCTTTATATGGTTTATCCCTTTCTCTCAGGCATCACCTTTGCAGAGTCCCTATTCAAGGGTATTGAAGTAGCACGTACGTGTCTGAAATGGGTATAAAAGAAACCAAGCCAAAAATTCTCTGAGACTTGTTTTATGGGACTGCAGTAAATATCAAGTACTTAAAGAGACATTAAATGATTTCATATAGAAGGTTGATTATGTGATGATGTCAATGTTCATTGTATTACAAATCTCATATAAATAACACATACAAAAGAAGTGAAGGGTGTTTTTTTAATAACAGAAAATTAGTGTATTTAGACTTCATTTCTGCATTTGCATTCAAGCACTGTCACCCTGTGATACATCTAATAATTCCAAAATCAGACAACTGTTTTATCTTCACATTAAAAATATGAAAATATAATATAAACATATAAAAAAATTGGCAACAAAGTCTGTGTAATGCAAAGGATGCCTAAACACTATTTTTGTGGCTCACTTTTAAAACCTTGTATGTTCCTTTGTAACACTTGGTACTTCCCAAAGAGAAAACAGAATAAGAAACAGTATTTCAGAATGCACAGCAGGTTCTCTTCTTAGTTTCTTTTAGAGACACAATGTCTAAGTCATGTAATACACAGGATTTCTGAAAAACAAACAAAAGCAAACACTTCATTAAGATAACTAGAACATAACGGTTGAAAAGTTTGCTTTTTCACATACTTTAATGTAAAATATTTGGTGCAGTCACTGGATATGTTTTTCCTTTGAATATTTAATTAAATTATTGAAGTTTTCTAATAAATTAGATGGAAATTGACGTCCATGCAAGTCCTACTTGGCATCTTTACATTCTTTAGCTGCCTCAAACATCTCCCCTAAATATGAAGGTGACAGAAAGTCTTTTGAGGAGTCACTACAAACCATACATGCCAATCCCGTAAACCTTTACTTACATGAACTGTTCTATAAGTACAGGTTCTTCTGTTGACTACCCCAATTTTAGCTGATTTTCACTTAAGTAACCTTATCTTTGAAGTATTGGGCATGGGTTGAAAAAGTCCAGTTGAAAGGAACAGGAAATACAGAATATCAGTAACTCACTAAAAAAAGGCACAGGCTATTAACTGTTATAAAACTTGTTTTGTGAAATTCACTAAAATTCTGGTTTTTTGCCTCTATTTAATAACCAGGAATACCCCCACATGGAAACAGTTCAGTCTTTATCATGATAAACTATCAAAATAGCACTCCACCCTTGTAAAACATTTATGTACTGATTGCAAAAGCGGATTATAACAAAAATGAAAATCATCAAAACCAGGACTCTTCCTTTCAGCAACGAGCTCAACTAGATAATTAATGTTGACCAGAGAAACAATCAAACCTGGTTGTGCAATGCAGAACATGTCGCAATCTTGTTCTCTGCAACTATGAACACTGAACCCTGAACTAGGACTCAAAGACACAGAGAATATTGTCACATGCCCAGGAAAATGGAAGCCCCAACTTCACTACCTGCCACTCTGTTGCCTGTGTCTTGGCAGGCTTACCAACTAAGCACAGAGAAGTAAGTGCAACCACTGGATTCACCACATTCCTCTCTCAACCCAAACCCAACAGCCATAAACAAGCGTGTCTGACAATAAAGAGAAGCCTCCAAAGATAACAGCTATCTAAGTTGGAATGTATGAAATCCAAAGCACATGAAAAAAAAAGAAAGGAAGAAGGGAAAAAAGGCATCATGCAGTACAATACTAATTGTGATTCAGAATTGAAAACTTACACAAAGTCACAGGGTAGTTGAACACTGACTACTTCCAGAAAGATTCACCTAAAATTACGGCACCAGAACGAGGGCAAAATATAAAGTCTCCCCTCTGCTACAAATAAGCTTTATGCCTCTTTGGCTGAGAATATTCATCACTATTTAAAATTCTGGAGAAGATGCATGGAATTTGTTTCCTTTTTTCTTTTGCAGCCATAGTTCCAGCTCTTCCAGAATGCTGGCTGCCCTGTGCCAGAGCCATCCCCACAAAGAGAGTGGCTGAGCTCATTCCCCCCTGAGGCTGCAGGGACCCAGGGGGGCTTCCACAGTGCATGGTGCTGGGGGGAGAAGATGAAACATCTGGGAAGGGATCAAAAGTGATGGATAGAGGAAGGGGCAGAGGGCAGGAAATGTATTGTAGTGTCTAAACCCCAGGATGGATGCTGAAGATGTCATCAGTAAAATTATTAGCAAATACTGTCTGACTAGCCTGTCTGAAGACTGTAGCTTACTGATTTTAGAAATTTCTTGTGATAATGAATTCTCCACATAATGAAGAAATACATCAGGTGCCCTTTTTTTTTCCTTGGGTTTGTTTTTTTTTTATTATTTATTTTTTGGGTGGTAAGGACCAAGAGACAAAACATTTTTATTACCCTTAAGAATTCCCGCAAATAACAACACGCAGCTTTATAGCTTCTGATTAGTTTTAACTTTTTACACAGTTGTGGGAGGTACAGGCATTAGATATGATTTCTGCTAGGCAGAGACAGTATTTGGTAGTCTGCAAGCATAGACAGTAAATTAAAAGTATGAAGACCTTTTTAAAAAATGGAGCAAGGCAGAATCAAAAGTACACAAACATAACCTTGTAATCTCAAGGAACAAAATACCACTCTGGTTTAGAGATAAGATTCTGAAGGGAAAATAAAAGCTTTGGAAGGTAATGGTACAGTAAGAAACTTAATTTCATTCAATTGAGACCAAGAAATAACATTGAGCATTAATTGTTGTGAACATTAACTAAATATGTTTTGTTTCACCCATGCTTTTTCTTGAGAAGAAAACAATCAGTTTAAGTAGTAAAAGAGTTCTAGAAAAATCCCCATTCGAACAGTTTCAGAATTCAAGTTTCACTTCTGTAGAGGAAACAGGTAATTTGAAGATGTTGCAGATTTTACTTCAAGACCAAACTTCATGCTTTCAGTCAAAGGGGAGAAAATTACATTTCCTTAAACACTTGGATACTTATTCGCATCTTTAACATTTTACTACTTATAATACTTTTAGATGGTAAGTAAGCTGTTTGTATATCCTTAGCAAGGATCCTCAGTACTGCTAAGTGATTAAGAATGGTGAAACATACTTGATAATGCAACAGTTCGTATAATCTCTAAAATCATTATTTGATAGTTCATCTACAAACTAGCCAGGACAGACAGACAAGAACCACCACTCCACAAATAAAGAACATCCATTTAAAAATCCATTTAAAAGCTGACTACTGATAATCACTTCAGTTTGTAAGACTCTTCCATACAGGGTCTTTGTGAAGCAAATAAGAGTCTGGGATCTGTTTAAGCAAATGTGCTGCACACACATTTAAAAAGTGCACATTCATAATATAAAGAGATACAGAAAGTCCTTCTGAAGCAATGATCAGATTTGGGTAATCCCACATAGCACTCAGCCTCAGCCAAGCCTTGGAAGAGGTGGGGCACCCCCTCTCCTAAAATTACAGCAGGGAGGTATGCAAATCTCTCCCACCTGTGAGAACAAGGCTGGCAGCATTCCTCCTCCAGGGCTCCATGAACACTAACACATCCAGCTCACATTTCACCTCAGCTTGTTGAAACTCACTGCCCCACAAGTCACCCAACAAACAACTGTGAACAGCAAAAGACTGTGAAAAGGTGAAAAGAACCAAAATGGTACCAAGAAGCTGGAGTTTCCACTTCAGCATCTTGGGCAAAGTGGGGTTTTGAAAATACCGCCACAGACACAGATGCTGCTGTACCCTGCAGTGATTTCAGTAAGATGTTGAAACTTCCTGCTATCAAATACTAGTTTTTCCTGTTAAATAGCACAGCAGACATGTCTCACCTAACTGGCAGGCATCTCTGCAAGCTAATTTTAAACTTCCTGCTTAAAACTCCCCTTCTGGCTGTCTCTCCTGCCCACTTCAAAGCAGAATTTGTATCACTGGCATGCAATACATACCTAGACACAAGACTTGTGATGAGTTGGCTCAGTTACTGATTTTTTTTTTTAAAATCAAGGCAAGAAAGCTACAGTGGTATACAAAGGAAAATGTAATGAAAAACCCCAACAACCTTTCTGAAAGGTTTCTAATGAGTAAATACGTAAATCTTCATTAAGCTCAGCTGCCCATTCCTTGCTGAAAACCTACTCAGATTAATGGTGGACCCACCTTCTCCAGCACCAGTTTTTGGTATTTTAATACTGGTTTAGTTATTTTGAAAGTGGGGCTCACTGTGGGTTTGGAATAATTACAGGATTTTGCTTTATCTGTATCATATCCCTGGTCAAAGTCAGACCTGGAGTGCTTGCTGAAAAATTAGAAGCTTTGGAGAAACAAACAAAAGAGTCTGTAACTAAGGTTACTATTATTTATAACTTCTTTAAATTTTGAGGATTTTTACTCTAATTAAAAAATGATCCTACTTAATTACTGAAATGATTTTGTTTATATTTAACAGTGATTGTTGACAAAGACTGGCAGAGAACTTCACACAACAAAGTCCCATGTGACTTCAGTGCCTGATCTGCCATTAGAGAGACCTCAGTTATTAATAGTCCCAACACTTTTTATGTATTTCCTCTATATTCTGTAACTCAAATTACCTGTTCAAAATGCAAGAGAGTAGTCTCACAATCACAATGGGCTGGACATGGCACAAGCAGTATTAAGCAACGGCTAGGGATATATTAGCAGGGAAGGCAATCACTGTGGGAACAGGTACAGGATCAGGAGACAAGGACATGAGGTCTAGCACAGCAGGATCTAACTGCTGCTGTATATCCCTCAAGGAGTGTAGGTGAAAGTCTTGCTCCCAAAGCCTGCTATTCCACCATATCTGAAACATCTAACCCACTGGCAAAGCCTGGGGCTCTATCTCCCTCACCTGTTACTATCATGTAGACTGTAACAATGTTGTACTGCAATTAGTTATTCACAAACTTGGGAAGACAGCTGTGGATCTCCTGTGAGGTTCCTCAACCCTAGAGATCATCTAGGTGAGGTTTAATATAGTTGCATCATAAAAACTCTATTTAAGAGAGCAATATATCTTCAAAGTCAATATCCTGCAGAAGCAGCAAATGCCGGAACTAAGCCAAGTCTGTAACTTTTGTTCTCCTGGAGTCTAATTTATTTAATTTGAATTATATGAAAACATATAGGTTTAGATATGGAGGCCTCCATAATCAGTGCAGGGAGAAAGACACCTCCAAAACACAATTTTACCTTAAAGACTCATCTCTTTCCATTGAATAGAGATGATTCCAGACAACCACACCAGTCATGCAAATTTTAGCTTGCTAGGATTGCATGCTAAGATGAATCTCATCCCCTACACACAGATGTTGTGATTAAGTTTTGATTTACATGACCTAATTATATGCTACTGTTTCCAGAAGAATATCTGGCTCATTCAATGTCCAGAACAGACTTTTTAAAAAAATTAAATAACCGTAGTTAAATTTGCCTTACACTGCACCAGCACAAAGTGAGTTGGTACCATTTATCTTCTCTGCTTTAATCTGTACCTTGGTTCCCACATGTGCAATGCTGAATATACCTAATGTTACTAAGAAAGTCAAGGAGATAAGAATCTAAAATGGATCTAAAGTACAGCAGAACATGCATTATAAAAAACCTCTTGAAGGAATTATTATTCTGTGGTCAGTACAAGATAAATAAAGGGCAAATAAAGCCTGGGGCTCCATGCATGACTAAGGATAATAAAGAAACACTGAGTATGCACTGCTGGAGACACAGGGATCTTTTAGACAAACTAACAATTCCATGAACCTCAGCAATAATGAAATCCGATTTCCTATGGATTTGGGTCTTGAAGTGAATTAAATTTGATATCTGTGATGCAAGCTCCAGCTGGAGTAGCTGGTTGAAGCACTTTTCAGTCTCTCTGTGGTCTCTAACATTCTATGAACTAATGCTGGAGACTTTCCTTCTGCAGAGTACTCTGCCTCTCACCTTATTTTCAAGGAACTACTCAGGAACTTAACTATCTTTCAGTTTGATCCGTCAAATTTGTTTAAAATCAGCTAACAAGTTCCAAAGGTACTTTAAGAGCAAAGGAATAGAAAACCCAGTATAATCTCAACAATCTTGTTGCCATAGGAAAGAGATGAAAAGAAATGAAGGAAGAACAAAATTGAGGCCTGCTACTTCTGAGTGTTCATTTCAAATGACATCCAGTTGTTAACCATTAGATGTTACTCTCAGCAGCACAGGGCAAGGTCTTAAATGGATTTTCACCGTTCTCAACTCAGAAGATATATGTTTATTTAACATGATTAAAATAATCTTAGTAGTAAATCACTCTTGAGAGGTAGGCAGAATATAAGTTTTAGTTAGTTTTATTGCCGTTTTCAGAAAAAGGTGATAACTTCATTCTTATTTCCTTTTTTTTAATGGAGTTCTCTCCTGATCCTAGTTTAGAAAAATACCAACAAGCACACCCAAAAGGACATAAACTTGTAAAAGCTTGTATCAATTTTTTTAAAATCTACTTGAGAACACTACTGCTTGCCAGGCATGAAACCAAAGAACACAAAAGAGCAAATTCTAACTGCATTCTGGGTGGTATTTTTCTGGTTTTGGTAGTTTTTAAAGGACTGACTCACACGTCCAAATAGTTCACTGGCAACCAGAAGCATTGTCAAAGAACAGCTGTCATCTATTAATGAACAGGTTTAGGCGTATCTGAGATTCATGAGAATAATGAATAAATAAAATACTGTTATTTGTCAACATGTCTAAGCAAACTCCTGGAATAATCTATGTCATTAACATTTATTTCCACTGCAGCCTTTCAAATACAATCAAATTGGTTATTACTGCCCTCCTCCAAAAACTCATCCGTCAGAGGAAGTTAAAACTCAAGTACTGCATTCAGTTATTATTAACTCATTGGTTTGAAAATTACGAGTTCTCAGAAATACAGCATGAATTACTGTTACCAATGAAAGCTGTTACCAATGTAAGCTGTCAAAAACACATCCAATGGTTTTAATGAGACTACCCATGTAAATTAGAGCTGCAGGATCGACACCCAGCATAGAATGGCTGAAAGTATCTGAAAGCTCAAGCAGCACTTTAGTTATCCAGATTGCTGGGATACAGAAGTTTTCTCTCTCCCTTAAGCCCACTACAAGACGAACTACAAAAGAAGAGATGGGAAACCACAGCACAAAATAGTGACAATACACTGAAACACTTGTCCTTTTTTTGTTTTGCGTTGCTTAAATGTCTTTAATATGAAACGTCTTAATTTTTTTTCTTTCCTCAATCCACCACTGAACCACAACTTGATCTAAATTTTGAAAGAATCAAGAAGCATAGTACTTCTGTATGTGCTCTATAACTCTGGACATCAAACTTCCCCATCTATAGGAGAGTTTCGTGTAGATTAAGTTACTAAGGTCATGTCCACAGCAAATGACAAGCAAGAATGTACGTAAGAAGTCCTAGATTTCCTTATATTAATATAGTCTACTGCAATGCATCTGAGAATGGTCTACTGCCTGCCAGCCTGCCCTGATTATTTATCTTATCTCTGAATAAGGTTCATGCACTTCCCAAAAGCATGGCCATAATAGACTGTTCTAGGGAGTTCCTTTCTTCTGTGGGACTGGGAAAGCAGTGATGTGCTTGCAGTGAAGCATCTCATCTGTCTGGGACAGATGGTCCATTGCAGAGGGCAGGGAGGCCCGATATCCCCAGGCATAGGTTCCTTGGGCCAAAACACTGTGCAAAGCTGTATCTCCTTTTTACAATCAGCAAATACGTATTTCACCACTACCAAATGGATGTGTGACTGAAATTATCTCAGACTGGCATCTATCATGTAATTTTTCACAGCTACTAGTCACACTTGCTTCTGCATTTTCCATTCTCCAAAATTTCATCAGTTAGAGGAAGTTAAAATTCAAGTACTACATTCAGATTTCACAGTTTTGTGAACAGGCAAATTATTTTGTCGAACCTGAAAACCATGATGAAACTGTATGGTAGATTTTTTTTTTCCCAGCAAACGCTTTCTTATCAGGCCAGTGGTAAAACCAATTGGGCTAAAGGGGCTCTTGTTTAAATCAACAAATGCATTTTACTGAAAATGGCAAATTATACACCAAAGTAATGGTACATGATGCCTTATCAGGATTCAAAATATTTTTAGCAAAGGTGAATCGTTACTACAAACAAGTATGACACACTCTCATAGGCTTGTTTTCCAAACACACACACACATACACAGAGCATACAACTGTTCAAAGCAGTTCTAATTAAAACCAAGCAGTAATATAACATATTCAACGTGGTCTGAATTTTTTTCCCATGTCCACACTACAAACCCCATGAATTTGCATGAAGGTGAGTAGGAATACTGAAGTTTCACTTACTGTAAAATAAATATAGGTGATCTCAATATGAAAAATACCCAAACATCATTTCTGCATGTACAGAGAATTCTCTTAGATATTATCCAAACACACTCTGCAGAAATGCATAAATACTTCACACGTATTTGTCTTTGCAGCAGTTATGATCATATCTATTGTTTTGTAGTTTTCATGTTTCATACTAACAATATATTCTCTACTTACACTAGACATTTTTCATTTAGAACAAAATCAGAGTTATCTTACTTGAGACATTTTTCCAAGCTCAATAACTCAAGAACCTGCCATTATCCTCCTGTTCTAAACAGTATTTGACTGTTCAAATATTGCTGAGCTTCGTTTTCATGTTAAAGCAACCAAAATATTTCTTGCCCTTTTTTTTTCTCCCACAAAATAACCAACTACAGTTTGTGTTACTATGTAGTATGACAGGACCCTGATTTAGAAGCAGTCCAACCCTGAGCTATTATTCTGACCATCCCCTATGGCTACTTAATCAAAACACTGCGACTTGTGACTTTGTCAGTAATTTTGCTCATTTATCTTTATTATGACTTGAAGAGTATTCGGAGTGGAAGGTTAGTTTTGTATAACTAATATTGGTGATGAATGACAGTGATAATACATTGCATGAAGAACATCTATTAATGTCTAAAATAATATTCTACTGCCTAAAAATAAATTGCAATGCAAAACATTTTCAGAGCTAATGAACAATAATTCAGTCCTACAAAAGAATTGCAACTCTGAGGAGTAAGGACCTTGAAACCAACACACTCAAGTTAGAGATGCTGACTCTGACAGCTACAATATTGATTCTACCACTAATTAAGTCAAATCTTTAGGCCCTGATAACTTCAAAAGCACTAGTGTAAATCAGCCAAACAAACAGCTATGAACCTTGGATAAAACATTTGATTGCTGAACATAAAAGCTCCACAGATTCCATCATGATGCAGCATCTTCACTGTGTGCACACTGCAGAAGGGAAAAGGAATCTTCCTAGCACAGAAGTGGAACTACTCTGGAGCTGTTAACCACTCCCTTAAAAAAAACTATGGGAAATAAAGCCACAAATACAGTCTTCCTGAATTTTCACTTTCTCTCTGAACTGTATTGTACCTGCTCACCTCTTCTGTTTTTCTCTTCTTTCACTATTCACATCAATAGAGTCCCACTCTCTTCTTCTTCTCCCCCATGTTCCTCCTCTGTATGCCTGCAGCTACAGGATTTGCCCAAAATACTAACTCCATAAGGCAAAACCAGCATCAGCTCTGTTTTGCTTAAACTGTTCTGCAGTTACAACTTTATCCAATCTGCCAAGAAAAATCTCCCATTTTCTTTCTCCTTAGGAAAGAAGCCTACCTTTTCCAGGATTTCCTTAGTCAAGACTGAGAATGCATGCTCAATGTTCACATTTTCTTTAGCACTGGTCTCAAAAAATGGCATTCCATACTCCCAAGCAAGCTGAAAAACAAACGTAAGAAATGGAATAAACATTCTTCAGGAAAAAAAACAGTTCCTAATACTAGTAGCAAGAAATATGGAGGTTTTCTGACTGCTTATACAATATAGAAACACTAATTAAGTACATGATTGCTCGGTAAAATACTCTATATTCATTCTCTGTTTATAAATTTCAGGTGCCTCTGAAAACATTCTTCTTAAATTCTTGTGTTTTCAAAACAGCTTTTTTAACCAATCTTTACTTGTAAATAACAAGAATAAACTCCCGTGGGTCTGTTCTCAGTGTTTTGATTTATTTGGAAAATGGGCTGTCTCCTAAGCAATTATTTAGAGGAAACTAATGGAGTGCCTGCAGATAAAAATATGACAAAAAATGTTGAAAAAAAGTGGCATGATGAAATATAAAAAAGAGATACTCCTTTATGCTAGACAGAGAGAAGCACAGAGATAACAGGCAAGCAAAGAAAACGTATGCATGCAAAAAGAAATTGTGGTAAAAGGCAAAGAGAGAAAATACTTAGAAGGACAGCATAGACTTTACATTGGTTGGTTTTATTTCTTTTACTCCTGTTGTTGTATTTCCAGTGTATTTCCATTACAGATAACGTTGAGATGTTGGCATGAAGAAAAAATCCCAACACAATACACATGTATTATAATCAGATTTCAAAATTTTAGTCAAAATATAATAAAGATTACACTAAAGGTTAAAAAAAAAAAAGTAAGCAAAATGGTTTCTTTCCAAAATGCTATAAGAAAATGTAGTTCTGAAAATAAAGATGAGATCTAACTGATTCACTAGACAGAGACCACTTTATAACTTCATATGGGATTCTGAAACTCAGTGGACTGCTGGGAACTGGTTTTGGTACTGCAGCAACTTGTTACAGGAAGTTAAGATCATTGACCTACTGCCAGTACAAAACAATAATGCGTAAGAGTTCATAAATAAAAATACAAACAATAAAAGAATACTGGGCTAATAAAGAGAACTGGCTTCCTGATTATGAAGTACACAGAAACTATTATTAAATATCCCTTTTCCTTCCTTGTATCATGTAACAGGTTTCCTAAAGGTTACTTGTGTACAAACTCTGATGAACACAAACCAACCCTTTTTATCATGGAATCACAGAAATAATTTTGAAAGATAACCCCACTTGAAATGAGACTACTGCCCACGCAATATTGGGTTAGCCCTGGCTTTGCCTACAAAAGTCTTGAAATTCACCAGTGTTGGAGGTTCTGTAGCCTTTATGGGACCCTCTTCCATGGCTACATCAACCTTCTAGTGCAACTGGTTCTCCTCAAGTCCAACCTGAACCTCCCAAGCCAGGATTTGCTGCCCCTCTGTTTATTGTCTGTCTCTAATGAGAAGAATCTATTTCTGTCATTCCTTTAGTATCACTTCAGTTGCTGTAGACCAGTAACTGCTCCTTAGCCTGCTTTTTACCCAGCTCCCTCTCCTCATGGAATACTAGACCCTAATCACCTTTATACCTGTCTGCTGGACCAGCTGCAGTTTCTCAATTACCCTTCTTGAAATGGGAGAGCCAAAGCTGGACACAACATTCCATGTGGCTTCGCCAGCACTAAGAAAGGGGGGTAATAATCTCCCCAGATCTATCATACATTATCCTTCTAATGTAGCCCAGCACCTTTAAAGCTATGAAGGAATACTGGTGACTTATGTTCAAGCTGGTGTTCACTGTAATTTATCAATCTTTCATACCAGGGCAGTGACTCATGCCTTGGATTATTCCATCACAGGTGCAAATCTTTGCACTTCATGAACTTCATGATGTTTCTGCTGACCCAGTTCCCAAGTTTATCAAGGTCCCACAGAACTGGTGTTCTCCTACTCTCCTTGGGTGCCAGTGACACCCCTTAATCTCATGTCACATGCAAATCACCTTCTATCATCAGCCAAATCACCAATGAAGATGCCGAACAATGTGACTGAGGCAAGGCTGCCTATAGTTCCCTGAATCTTCTTCCTTGCCTTTTTTAGAAGATACACATCATGCTGGCATCTTTCTAGTCAAAAGGGATCTCTCCCAACTACCATGATTTTTCAGAGTTGAATGATAGTGGCTTAAATCACAATGATCAGCCCTTTCAGCACAACTGGGCAAACTTCATCATGTCTATGTGCGTGTCCAACTTTCCCAAGCAATTTCTAATCCAAAGCTTTCCCACTGCTGGCTGACCTGCTCCTTCCCAAACCATTCCAGTACCTGCAGATGCCTGGGAGCAAGCTCTGCTTGTGAAGACCAAAGAAAGGAAAAATCAAATCAAACAAAAAACCTTGAATACTTGAGCCTTCTCTGTGTCATATTACTATATTGCCTACTACATCTATCAATGCACCCCCATTTCCTCTACACGTGCACAATATTGGTCACAGAAGATTAATGTCAGTATTTTTTCACTTTACCCTGCATACTGCTAAACTCTGTGGCAAGCAAGTCCTCCAAAAATATAGCTCAGTGGAAAAACCCCCACTGGTCCAGTGGTAAAGCAGTTGAAAGTATGAACACATATCTGGCTACACCCTCTCCAAAAGACAACAGAAAGGTGTATTCAAAGAACTACTTTTTTTCCTTGGGAGCACCTTAAACAGATCCATAAATAAAATACCTAAATACATTTACAAACCTGTGGGAATTATGCTGCTAAGAAATGGTATTTCATAATATCCTTGGAGTTTGGAGAACTTGTGTGAAATAAGCTTATATCTTACCAACAACAATAAAATAGGTAATGTTAATACTACTTCCTAGGAAAGTGTTGGTATGATTTCTTAGTGCTGAATCAGAGAGATACGTCTGAAATATTCCAAAACTGTGCAGAGCTCTATTACATGTGAAAAATCAGCTTTGAAACTATAAATCAGCTTTAGTTATGAAGACAGCAAAAGAAAAAAAAAAAAAAGAAAGAAGATTTTACTTGGCTTTTCCTGTTAGAAAGATTTGATAGGAGAAAAACAACCACATTCTACCAAGTCATATAAGCTTCAACATTTTTATCTTTCAATGAAAAAGATGATGATATTGGGGGGTGAACAGAGGAGCCCAAAAAGGCTGAGTTAAAACTTTTATCAAAATGAATAAGAAGCAATTAATACAAGAAAATTATACTTCAAAATGTTAAAATTAAACATCTCAATTTCTGAATGATCACAATTACATAAGTTTGCACAAAATTAATTATTACATGATTTTGTACAAAAAGAAACGAAAAAAAAAATCTCAGCATTAAATTGAAATGAAATTAAATACAACAGCCACTCAGTTATAACAGATTTTTACAGAAATGCCAATATAGATTATGAGATTCCCAGGGAATCTAGAGTTCCTCTGTGCAAGAGACTGAACAAAACAACACTTAAAGCTCATACTATCAGGGTAATATGAAATATGTGACTACAAATTATTATTTGTCAAAGTTAGAATCAAACTGCTTTCCCCTCTTAATAAGGATATTTTCTTCTTCAGAGTGAGAGGACAATTACTGTCTCTCTCTCTCTACTAATGGAATCTTTCTCCAGCACATTCAGTCAGATCCTTTAGTACTCATATGCTAAATCATGTTAAAAGAAGAAATAGTGTAACAGAAGAGTTGCCTTGACTCGAAACACAGGGGAAATCTAGAAAGCAGACTCATTGTGGAGGAGGTAATGATTTGTTTCTGAAAAAAAAAATACTACATTAAGAGGAATTTTGGTTGCATGGTTAAGAACCCAGAAGTCAGAAAATGTCATGGTTAATACCCATGCAAAACCCTGCTGCTGCCCTCTGGTGCACATGCATCCAGCGACTCTCTAGGTTTCTAACAGTGCATCCTTTGTGTGAGACTACAACATGTATTTTTCAGCAACCTTATTCCTTGTACACAGACATGGTAAATTAATACTGAAAGCATCTTGCATGTGAACTATGAAATCTCAGGAGTGTAATGTTGTCCAAAAGGTGATGTTATTTTTTAAAGTTCCCTAATCTGGAATTATATCATTGGCAAGAAGCTATCAGTGTGTTTTTCTTTAAACGTGAGACATCCTGCTTGACTCACCATGCCTGAAAGCATAACAGGAGGGATAATGCCAAGTTCCAGAGAACAGATGCATACAGTTTGCAGTAGCAAAATTTACTGGTATATAGGATACACACTCCTGCAATATTTAATTATTATCTCAATTTCTTCCATCATAGCATAGCTTCTGAATTTCCTCACTGGCTCACAGTGAGAGACATTTGCTATTCCTTTTAGAACAACACTCCCCATTTAATAAGTTCTTCCCCCACCCATGGTCAGCATGAAATTCTACTGTAGTCTCTGTGTGTATACATCACATACGCAGTTTTGGGCAGCTGGATGTCCAATATCTGTCCAGTCTTATTTAAGGTTCTTCACAGACAATGGAGATCATTTTACACAGGCTGACAGAATATTCTTTATAGTCAGACTGTAGCAAAAATATCAGTTATGTGTGGTATCAGAAAAATTATGCAGAATGTATTGCATTTTAATTTTACACATTATAACAGTACTCTGAAAATGCAGTCTATATAAGATTCCTGTTGTATATATATTCTGTTTTATATATATATATATATATATATATTTCTGCAGTCTCTCTAAGATTTCTGTAAAACTTTTAAAGTGTATCTTAACATTTAAAAGAACCGGTATTCTAAAGAGATCAGCTAGGAATTATTTAATATATTTCTAACACTCCAGAACTCCACAACTGTTCTTCTAGAGCAAGTCCTAATAGAACTTTTGGAATTCAGAAGCTTTTTACCACTTTCAGTTTAACAGCTCAGTCACATACTAAGAAACTCAGGAGGACCCAAAGAAAGTACCAAAGATACCTTTTCTCCTTTCTGTTTTGGAACTACCCGTTCTGACTCCTTATCACACTTGTTGCCCAACAGTATTACGTCCACTTCATCACCTGCTTTCTAAAAGAGAACCAGCATTAATAAGTGTCAAGTAAGAAAAAAGCAAACAACAAAAGCCCTTCACCTTCAGCTCACACTAACCTTCAGCACACCATTTCCTTGAAAGTAAAGGCTAAATTCTGCCATGACCTTCATATGTGCAAATATTTTCCACCAGTTACTGGGATTTGGAGGAAAACAGAAAGAATGCAAAGAGCAGAAAAAAGCTATTTAGAAGTGCCACGTGTAATTTCCAACCCCTTTTATAAGATATAAAGTATAAGGTGCATGGGCACCATCTTCTGATGAATGCTCCATCTTGAGGCTTTAAAATGACTGGAAATGCCCTGAATTCACAGGCACTGCCCTCCTTAAAGTAATAGATTAATGGATTAGCATATGACTCTGGTGTACATCCAGCACTCACAAGTAAAAAGGCAGGAATTTGCTGCACCTGAAAGAGCACCTCTCTGTACTTCACTGTTGCACACAGACAGTAAAATTACTTTCAAAGTGTTCAAACTCAACATAAAAGTCTGATTATTCCAAGACACTAGGAAGAAGGCAATAGACTTTTAATGAAGTAAAATTTTAAAACCTCATTGATTTCAAAAGGAAGAAAAATCTACCTTTTTGACCTTGTCTCCTCTGTTCCTCTAATCCACTCACATGCATGATGACTGTGAAATGCACTGGGTTTTTAGCATCAGTGTTATTTTAAGATAAGTCACTGTAACTATATGCAACTGGAATAATGACAAGGAAAGGGAATAGTTCTGCAACAGCATGTGAAATTTGAAAACTAATTTGTTGTGAAAATCATAATATTTAAAATCACTTTTGGTGCTTAAACGGAGGACATTGAGGGTTTCAAATCTACAAACAATTGAAGCTACTGTAGTCTGATGCCATGGCTTTTATTCTGGAGGTACATGCTTCCACAGCTTCCCTGATGAGTCAAAAAGCCTGGTCTCAGGCTGCAGATCTCTCTACAGGGACTTTGATGAAATCTCTGATCTCTGTCAAATCCTTAACATTTGTAAGTTTGACATAAGACAAAATCAATCACAACCATACAGAGAAAAACCTTTTTTCATTAAAGGATGTCAGAATACTATTTTTAGTCTATTTCTGCTTTTACAACTATTTGAAGACTTTATCAGTAGGCACAATTTAATATTAAGGAACACTATTTCTTTTTTTTTTTTTTTTAATCCATTCTCCTCTTAGAGTCATCTAGATTCATTTCATACCCACAGCTTATTAAAATGAAGTAAATTTCATAAGAGTATGAAGTACAGGCCTAAAATAATAAATCTAACCTGGATTAACAGACCAAAATGCTGGCTATTTAAGAATGCACTGAAGCTTCACTTATTAAGATCAGTGGCTCTCCTATGTAAAATCACATACATCAGTCCCAAAATAGGGTAAATAGACAATTATATAATCAACTTTTAATTCAGAAGAAGACTGAAGGTTGATGAAGGTTTTACAAGTGACATTTGATTTCATTCTGCAGTTAAAGGTTAGAGGGAAATACTTACATACTGCATGCACAAACCCACTGAATTAATTCTGTAACTTAATTTCTATATAAACAGCAGTAGGAATTTCCTTCTAAACTTTTGCAGTAGGAATGTTCCTTCTAAACAGCTTCAAATAGTATCAGAACTTAAATGAGGTCTGAGGTACCAGGCCTTTCAGCAAGTATTTATTAGTACTACCAATCACAAAGTATTTACTTTTGCAAACAACTACTATTTCTACATCAATATAATGTATTAATGTATTTGCACTTTGTCTGGATCCTCCACCAAAGCACTTATAGTTCTCTTTTAAAAGATAGTATCTTGCAGTTTCTTGCATTTAGAAAACTGAAGATTGTTAGTCAAAATGATGTCCATGTAAAATTCTGAAAACTGATTATGTATGATGCCTTAAAAAAATAAGTCAATACAACTAGGCAGAAGTTTGACCATGTGCTCAGCTGGCATAAAAACTGCATGGGTTTTGATGATTTGAACTGGTCAAAAATATGGCTTTTCAGTGCTTCCAAAAGCTTGCTGTATATTCTCATACTCTGTTATTTATAGCCCAGGAATAAGCCTTCCAAATGCAAAATCTATAGCTAAAAAGATGAAGGTTATTTTACAGTTGTTAAAATCCTATTATGCAAGTCAGCACTGAGTAAGCTCATAGAGTCAGGAAACATTTTTCCCCCATATTATGGAGAAGTACTATTAAAAATTTCATCAAGGCAAAAAGGATTTTTTTCTAGATAGAGTTTTGCCCTGGTATCTCAAAAATGTCAATTTTTGGTTCACTCTCTCAGTTTTTCTTTGGGTTTTAACATTTCAAATTTCACATTTTACTGAAGGTTAAAATAAATATAATCTTAACCTGGAGAATACGTACATTATTTTATTTTGAAAAGGAAAACATCATCACTGTATTTCTCTGGAAAAATTGGAGCCAAGAGATTTACTGAGACTGACCGAGTTTTCTCAAGTGTTTGGCACTGCTTGGAGCCACCAGGTTTTTGCAGAAGGGTTTTTCTTCCACTGGGTTCCCAGGCAGCTGGATCTGGCAGCAGCAGGAGGCAGGCTGCTCTGAGCAGTGGCCACGGGAGGGAGCAGCAGCAGAGCCGCAAACTCAGCAGTGCCACATCCTGGATTTGGAACACTGGACACTCACATCACGGTACCACAGTCTCTGCAGCACACTACTGATAGGGGCCACCTATGCCCGCTGCCCTACTGCTTAATGTCCCCCCAGCCAGGGAAATACACAACCTGACTATAAGGCTATTAACAGAAATCAAAAATGCAAAAGCAAAAATATCTTGCTCATCCATTTTGTTTATAATTTGTCTGGGGATTTGGGTGGGGTTTTTCTCAAATGTTAGGTCTTTTTTTCCCCTTCAGTTTTTATTTTCCAGAAGTGCTGTGAATTTATGTGAGTATGAAAAGTAGCAGACACCTTTTCTGTAAGAAAACTACACCATATCTGTACTTACAGGTTATTGGAAAAAACTATCCCTTCACCTCTTAAATGGTGAACACAGAATCTACCAAGAATAATCCCAACCTCCCCTGCAGCAAACTGACTATGATGATTATGAGCTCACTGAGACTCCTCATATAAATCTATCTGTCCAGGGATACATCTTTCAGAACACCAACTTGTCCCTTCACCACAACTCCAGGGAGGAGTTGTGAAGGGCTGCATGACATTGATACTCATTAATTACAGATGGAAAAGGCAACAGAAGTTTATTTGTAGGTCAAAACAGTGAAACTGAGAACCCATACCTGATAAATACACTGTGGAAATTCTTAAATAATCTGTGTTTGAAGAAGAAATGTAGCATTAATATAGCTTTTCACATTTAAAGAAGATGCACATGGTCAAACATCAAGATGAAGGCAGAGCTGGAGAAAGCCATAAAACTGGGAAGCTTCTTCTTCTTACCCATTAGACAATGACACTAGAAACATATCCTTTGTAATAGTGAAGAACAATTTCTTAGAAATAGATTGTCCTCAGAATCTCTTTAAAAGCATCACATGGGCAGTGTTTATATCAGGATTGCCAAACACATCTCTTTCCACATATTTTTCCAAGCACCACCTTATGACCTCAGTTACAAATACCTGGTTTCCAGGACTTCAGTAGAAACAAATGAATGGTAACATTTATTTGTCTATTAGTAAATTTAGAATGCAGTAGATATAAACCAATTTATCCCAAAACCAACCTAGGGCTACACACAAACCCATTTAGTAAAATGACAAGAGCAAGACTTTTAAGTTCTAATCAGAGCCATAACAATAAACCTATCTATGAACTGGGACAATTTGATCTTTTGACATCAAGCTCTCCCATCTGAGCAAGAAAAACTCAGAAGAGTTTCAAGTCAAACTAATTTACATTTGTAAAGCAGTTTGCTGTGCTGCTTTTATTTAAGTGTGATGCAGAAACACTGACAGACAGTCTAATTCCCCAAAAGCACCAGAGGAACCAAACCAAAAAAGGGCACTATGCAGAAATGGCAGCAACTCAACAATTCACACAGTTCATATCCTGCTTGAGGGGTCACTTCTTCAGGTAAGACAAATAGATGGTTTATGTCTTTAAAAACACTCAACTACTGTCACCAAGACATGCACAAGAAAATAAAATTATCTTCTCCATGCAGAAAATTCTGTGATGGCAGACAATTTCCAGCACAGACATAATTGTTAGGAGCTGGTATTGCCAACTCTCATGGCCACACCAGGAGACTAGCACAATTAAAAGCAGTCCAAGGTATTTAGAAGTAAATTAAGATCTACCATCTATGTCAACAATTTCTGGAGACCCAGATGCCACATGTGAATAATGCAGTGATTTAGGCTGGCAAGAACTTCTATAAGTCAGCTGGTCTAGTCCCCTTCTCAAAGATGGGCCAACTTCAAAATCAGATTGCTCAAGACCCTGCTGAATGGAGTTTTAAGTGGCTCCTTTAAGTGATCCTCTCTGGGCACCTATTTGAGTATCTGAACCACTCTGTTGTGAGGAACCTTTTGCCAGTGTTAATTGGAATCTTGTTCAAAACATCCTGGAAAAAACTGTTTTCTGCAAATGGATTTGGTACACAGCTGCTTGCATTTATTTTATTTTCAAAGGCCAAATAGCATCAACCTTTCAGAATAGGTGCATACAATAACTAAAAGCCATGTTAGCAGGAGGAGCACTTTAATAAATTTGACATACCCTGAAATCCTACAAATAAAGAATGGTTTCCAGTTCTAAAGTTATCTTCCTGCAATTATCATCCTCCTAATGAATGCATTACAAATCCAATACTGCTATATTGGACTTGCCAATAATGTTTCAAGATATTAATCTCTGAGTGAGTATATTCTTCTAGAAAGCTTTTAAAAAGTACAGTCATGTTACAGTTTCATCTAGTTCTGAATTCAAATTTTACTGCAATACAGATACGGCAGCATCTTTGTGTCTTGTATTTCCTTGGACAATAATTCATTTTTAATAGTAAAGCTGCTGTATTCCACACATAAACTAACTGAAATACAATGAGAACATTACTGCTAATCTTACTGTAATTGCACTGACTGGCCAGTTTTTATAAAATCAATAGGAGTTTTTAAGAATGCTAAATTGCTTGGATTGTTATTTTCAACTGGTGCAAAAATGGCTTAGCACACTGAACAGATAGTTAAAGAACTTTCTTCTTAAAATCTTTATGCACAAGGAACTAAAAAATGAGACCATAATGTAATAACTGAATTGACTCAGAAATTTCTGTTTGACCAGATTGGTTCAGATGTACGCTTTACATTACCTAATAATGTGGTATTTAGTGAAACCTGTATTCTCTCTGTTTCCCTTTTTAAAAATTATTTATTTTTTCTATGCTTGCATATTTTAAATGGTGCTCTAGAAACAGTCATTTTGATTCTTGGCATTTGTAGGGAATTAAAAACTGGTTTGCATTCACAGACCAAAGCAAACGCAAGGAATGTCACCGACCTCCAGGAAGTAATTAATTTTCATGAAATGTCCTGTGTTTTAACAGTTATTGCTTAAAAGCATTTCTTTTGCAATGAACAGCCCCATATATTTTCACCAAGACACTTCAGAAATTGATATCCCACTAGGACTAAATTAAATTTTTTATTACTATCTAGCTCTATTACAACACTAATTGCTAGTTTTGAGATTGGTACAATTAATCACGCAATTTACATTCCTAGAAATTGTTTTAGATTATTTTTCCATTTTTTAAACTTTAAACAAAAGTACCTTCAGGGGTTAAGATTAAACAGTCCAAATATTACTACCTTGAGTACATTCACACAAAAGCTTTTAAAACAACACAAACAGAGAGCAGGCTTGTGCAGGTATCATTTCCTGATTGACTACAGCAGACCTAAACCCGCATGGTGGTCACAGGAGCTAGACCCAACCCACCCTCCACCCTAGCCATACAGACCTGATACATTCTTCCTGTTTATGCCAGTGCATTGTAGCCTACTGAATCAATCATCCTGTTGATCTAATTGAAGATGAGAGGACAAAATGACCCCTTTGGGGCCAGTGTGAAGTCAGAACAATATTTTATGATGAAATATACATGGATGGATGGATGGATGGATAGATAGATAGATAGATAGATAGATAGATAGATAGATAGATAGATAGATAGATAGATAGGAATGGATATATGCAGATAATCTACATTTTTAATTTCAGATAACAGCAAACCTGCTATCATACTGTTTGCTGAGCTAAATCTTTATTAACCATGAAACTGTACAACCAGTGGCATATCTAGCTGTGACTTTTGTTTGGCCAACAGAAGAAAGGCACATGCTTTTCTTAACAAAATAATAAAATAGATATGTTAGTTTAAAGTGTGTGCAGACAAGCCAGTAAGAATATTGTGTCATCAAATCTCCTTTGTAACACATTAGTGAAGTTAGGCACTGTTGCCACTAAGACTTTTAAGATGGCTCTAAGGTCAAGAACAATAATGTACTAGGTCACCAGAGTAATGTTCTTAAAAATTAGATAATGTGAATGTAATACTAAGGGTATAAGATACCCCATGTATATATTATATATATTATTGGATATACAATCATGTGTAGTTCATTAGTTCAGCTGTACACTAAAGCTGTGAAGAGAGAAAATAATGCATTTGATGGTTTTATTTCAAGTCTCCTTTCTCAAGGCAAACTCTCCCATCCATCTGCATCTAATCACAAGAGTATTTAAAAAAGCCCGAAACTTTACTTGATTTTGATCAATGGAGAGCACTACCTTGCTTGTATTCTTACACTAACTTCCACATGCATACTAACTACAAACTGTTGTGCTACTGCTGAGGGGCAATACACTGCTCTGACAGCCTCCTCAGGATGGAAAGTAGAGAGAACAATACTGATCTTTTTTCCCTGGTATCAAGAGACAGGAGACACATGGGAATGGCTCAAAGTTGATACTCAGACTGGACATTGGGAAGCATTTCTTTCCTGGTGGTCAAACACTGGAATATGCTTCCTGGGGAGATGGTCAATTCCCCAAGCCAAATTAAGAGGCATCTGGACAATGCTCTTCATAACGTAATTTAATTTTGAGTCAGCTGGACTAGATGATAATTGGCTGGGCAGCTGGACTAGGTGATCACTGAAGGTCTCTTCCTACTCTACCTGTTTACCTTACTCCAGCTCCAATAAGTGTCAGACCCTTCTATGAGCCTCTCAAACTCACTGATAGATCAGAAAAACCACTCCATTTCATTTTCTGCGACAGTTTTCTACCACATTAGGAAGTCAGAGTGAGGCACAGAGGGCTCTGACAAGCTCCAGTGGGAACACATACCCCGTCTGGCAGCCATGTGCTGTTGAATCACTTCCTATGTCACATGAAAGTACATATTTCTGGCTGCAGCACCATGAGCAGCTGAGCTAACCAAACAGCTTCCCATCCCACTTCCTCCCTCTTGAAATCATCTTCACAAGGAATATCCAGCAAGGACAAAGAGGATATTTAATTCCTTTGATCTTGGGATGAGGTAACTACACTGAAGTAATGAAATTAGGAAAGGGAAATCACTGGCTGTGATATGGAGTTTTGATATGGAATCTAATTAAAATCCCAGGATGAGCTCATGCAGACTGATCTATGCAATGTCACACCAGTGACAAGCACACAATAACTCTACATGCACAAAGAGGGATTGGAATCCATGTTTTAGAAGTACTTCAGAAAACATTCCTCCATCAGCATGGGCTTGTCTAAATATAAACCATGTTCCAATTTCAGATGACAGTAATTCTACTATCACACTGTGTGCTGAGTTAAATGCAAGAAATTCTGGTTAGAAACATACAGGAAGAAGAATACATCTCATGCAGTCATTTAAAATGACACATTAATTACCTTCATTAAGCAACCAACCACTGACAGGTATATTTACCTCATATATGTCATTCATCCAGATTGTTATACTTTGAAAACTCTTCAGATTTGTGATGTCATATACAAGAACAAAGCCTTGTGCACCACGGAAATAGCTGGTACTAAGTGTATGGAACCGCTCCTGGCCAGCAGTATCCCTGAAGGAAATTGTAACAGATACACACACAAACAAACAAACAAACAAAAATATTTTAAAAAATTAAACTGCAGAATCCCCAAGAAAGATTACTTTACTTTAAGGAGTATTGTCCAAATTTTAAATTATGTACTCTAACATGAAAGGAACAAGAAAAATCACAGATGAGAGAAAATCTGTGTGCCAGATACAGCAATAAAAGAAATATGCTGAAAATTTATTCTGAATAATACAGCCCTACTAGGGAAGCCAAACCAGTGGCTGAAATCTGAGAGTAATCAAGTCCACCATTCCTTCTTTATATAAATAACTCAGGTGATTAAAAAATCAGATATCAGCTGAAATCCCTATATTCTGAAAACCCCTTTGTAAACTGTGGTACAAACAGCACCTGGTTGAGGTAGAAGACAGGTTTTGGGAAAAAGCCATAAAATACATGGACACAGTGATTCTTACACATAATGCCAAAACTTGAGGAAACAAACACAAATGGGATCCTCCAATCTGCTTCAGGAGATGTTGGCTACAAAGTACCACACCCCAAATGTTTCTACACTAATACACCAAGAAAGAGGAACAAACCACAGAAGCTCCAAGCTTTGTCCCAGTCCCAGGGACTTACCATCACTGGCATAAGTGAAACCTAATGGAAAATAAAATAAATAAGGAAGGTGCATGCCTAGTGGAAGCAAAGTCAGGTGACATGGAAAGAATACAAAGATTCTGTTTGCCACTGTAGGGAGAAAATTCGTGTGGTCAAAGCTACATTGGAGTTGAAGCTGACAGAAACATGGGAGACAATAAAAAGTATTTTCAAATATAAGAATGGCAAAAGATAGTGTAGAAATAGCATCAGCCTATTTCATGATGAGGATGGTCAACTCACCAAAAGCGACATGGACAAGGCAGAGGTGTTTAACACATTCTTTGTCTCTTGTCTTCAACACAGATGACAGACCAAGGGGGTCTCAGTGCCCTGAGCTGGAGGATCATGACTGTGCAAATGATCAACTCCTGTCAACCCCGAAATTGAATGGGATCTGCTTCTCCAGCCGGATCCCTACAAATCCATGAGGCCTGATGGGATTCATCTGAGAATTCTCAAATGCTGGCTGATGTCATCACAAAGCCTCTCTCAGTTTTTTAGCAGTTTTGGGAGTCTGGAGAGGTCCCAGCTGACCAGAAGCTGGGTAAAGCTGACACAGTTTTCAAGAAGGGCAATACCCTGGAAATTACAGGCCTGTCAGTCTCACTTCAGTGCTCAGTAAAACAGTGAAAAATATTATTCTGGGAGATACACCTGGAGGACAACACAGTCATTGGTCGCAGCCAGCACAGCAGGCCAAAGTCCTGCTTGTTGAACGTGATTTCCTTCTATAAAATGGTAATCCATCTAGCTGATCGAAGAAAGCCAATAGATGTGATCTCACTGAACTTCCACAAAACTTTTGGTACTATCTCTCACAGTACCTTCCAGACCAAATGTCCAGCATACAGCTGGAAAACCAATGCTGAATGATGGGTGAGCAACAGGCTCACAGGTCAGGCACAAAGGGTTACAGTGAATGGGGTGACATCAGGCTGGGGTCTGGGCACTGGTGGGGTTCTGCAGGGCTCCATCCTTGGCCCTGTTCTCTTTAACATCTTCATTAACCACTGGGATGCAGGACTCAAAGGGACACTAAGTAGGTTTGCCAAAAATACTGAACTGGGAGAAGCTGTTGACTCCCTCCAGAGCAGAAAGGCCCTACAGAGAGACCTTGACAAATCAAGAGTTTGTTGAGGTTGACTGGGAAATCACCAACAGCTTGAAGTTTAACAAGGGCAACTGCTGGATTCTGCATCTGAGACGGGGCAATCCTGGTTGTGTGTACAGACTGGGGAATGAGATGCTGGAAAGCAGGGCTGCAGAAAGGCACCTGGGGGTCACTGGCAAGTTGAACATGAGTCAGCAGTGCCCTGGCAGCCAGGAGGGCCAAGCATGTCCTGGGGGCCATCAGGCACAGCATGGCCAGCTGGCCAAAGAAGGGGATTGTCCAGCTCTGCTCTGCACCAGGGCAGCCTCAGCTCGTGTGCTGGGGGCAGTTTTGGGCACCACAATTTAAAAAAGGCATTAAGCTCTGAGAGAGCATCCAAAGGAGGGCCATGAGGATAGGGGAAGGCATACATGGGGTGGCTGAGGTCACTTGGTTTGTTCAGCCTGGAGGAGACTGAAGGGAGACCTCACTGCAGTCTACAACTTAATCACAAGGCAAAGCAGAGGGGCAGATACTGATCTCTTTACTCTCATGACTAGTAACAGGACTTGAGGTGAGTCAGGGGCAGGTAGGTTGGCTATCAGGAAGAGGTTCTTCACCCAGAGGGTAGCTGGGCACTGGAACAGGCTCCCCAGGGAAGCAGTCACAGCATCAAGCCTGACAGAGTTCAAGAAGCATTTGGACAGTGTTCTCAAGCACATGGTGTGATTCTTGGTGTCCTATGCAAGGCCACAAGTCAGTCTCAATGATCCCGATGGGTTTCTTCGCATTCTATGATTCTTTGAATTATGCCTTAAGAAAGCTATAAACAACCCTCTAATATTTTTGCATTAAAGCCTGAGATGGAATAACTGCAGATCTAATACCGGTCAGATAATTCACATACAGATTTACTCCTTGAGAAGTTAAATACCAGTAAATAAAGATAATTTTCAGTATTAGATGCCTGGAGAGCTAGGTGTCAGAAGCATACATAACCTTAGAAAAACTTCCAAACCAAAAAATTCCCAAAGATTCATGTTATCAGAAATCACTTCTCTTGGTGACCCGTTTGAACAAACATTTGATGGGTAATGAAATGTAATATTTTCTTGCTTTGTCACTTTTTTCAATGTTCCTATACAATTAAATACACTTCATATGGAACACAGATCTGCACTTGTTTGTATGCTGCAAGCTTTATTGCTAATGCAACCCAGTGACAACCATCTTTTTAACTTACATTAGCTGCTGCAAAAAATATACTCTCCTAGGCTAAATTAAAATTTAAAAATTATCTAGTAGGAGCACCTGCACATTATGAAGACACACAATTAAAAGTAGATGAGATTTTTCATGTCATAATGCAATTTAGTTGGCTTTCTTTTGTGATACTAATTAAAACTTACCATATTTGAAGTTTCACTCTTGTATCATTAAACATTACTGGCTTTACTTTAAAATCGATGCCTAGAAGAAAAAAGGAAAATCTGTAACATTTCTCATAATAACATGGATTCCCTTTGAAGATTGTTTCTCAGCTCTAGTTATCACGCAATTTCAAACAGAATGTGAAAAGGAACAATACCATAGAAAGAATAACTAGCCAACCATATACATTCAAAATGGAAGCTGTAAAAGGAAATTATTCACTGCTGAGTGCCAATACATTGCACAAATACAATACAAAGCAATGCCAATACCAAGCAAAGAAGGGGCAGGTCAGAGCAAAGGTGAAGATACTCTGAAACAACAGGTAAGTATTATCATGGATTGGCAAGGGATGTGAAAGCAGTTTCATGGCCTATGCACAGAAGTACATTGCACAAATACAGTGGTGATTTTCAAGAGCATGGCAGCTATGAATGGGAAGATCCAAATGCCTACAAAGCTGTCACGTGCAACACAATTTTTCTGTCCTTACTTCCAAATCCCTAAAAAAACATGCAGAGTTACATGAGCAGAAATAGGAATTGGCTGTATGCATTAAGTGCAAAGGCAAACATACATGGGATTCAATTCAAAATTAAGAGGACTGGCTCTACAGCCTAAATCAGATCCAGAAAGCCACTGCTAAAAGCAAGTATTAACACTTAAAATCAGTGTAGAATGTTGTCTCTACAAACACTACAGATCCTTCCTCAATGATATTTGCCTTATGATTTATAGTGTTTTCCTTTATTAAATCGTCAAATTAGAACTCCAGATGTGTTAGATGATGCCTAGATTTATGAGCTGTTGAAGTTCCAGTTCTAAAATTAGAATCTGCCAGCTATCAGCTGCTATCTTAGAGTGGCATATATTTGCAGAGCAAAGCATTGTTTCCTCTATTACTTCATTGCTGAAGTTTGAAATACCATTTGATAATTTCCATGATTGTTTTTTCCCCCCTGCTGAAAAACAATTAGGCTCTTTTTGTCAATTATAGTAAATTAAGGTAAAATTGTGACAACTGATCATATTGTATGCACAAAATTCCGTAAGATCAAACTATAGCTACTTAAAATGACAGTGTACTTTCACCAGAAGTAATGTCATTTGAAGGAACCAGACAGACTGAAAAATCACAAAAAAATTTAAGTTAATAACACTGCACTGATTTCTGTAAGAATGTGCAAGCCAAATTACTTTATCAAAGGAAAGCACCCATGGCAGCAAACTAAAAATGCAGAGGAAATGCTCCCTTCCTTTGTACTGACAGATGTATTGTGCACAAAATTTTGACAAGCACACTCTCACATGCATGCGCTCACATGCACTTTCAATGCTATTAACATTTTTTTGTGTGAGTGTGGTAAGGGAGTTGAGGTGGATTTTAAAAATTATTATGATAATCATGTCCTTCACTTGATGAATTTTCATTGAAGCTTCAATGAAAAGGAAAGATGAAATAATATAATTGGTATCTGTAATTAATATTACACAAAGCTTCCTTGATGGAATTAATAATGTCAGAAGGAAATGTAAGTAAAATTTGTTCATGTAAGGTGAAATTCCAACATGATGGAAAACATTTGCTACTGCAATTCACATGTTTTTTTTAATTATCTGTATCACTTTCTACCATTGACGTTGGAGCAGTTGAGAGGGACAGAGTGTACACTGGGAGGCTGGAATGTCACTTACAAATGGTGCATTGGGAACACAGAAAAAAATTATATTCCAGACAGGGATTCCCAGAACTTATAGGGAAAAGTTCTTAGTTGACATACATTTTAATAATAAATTGCTATAAGCTTTTTTTTAAAAAAAAAAAAAATTGTAGAAAGGGAAACAGAGTGCTGAATCAGACTAAAACTTAATCTAAATTAAAATCAGGCATATTGACTTCTTAAGTCAACTTCAAAATTTATTGACCTAAAAGGTCAATGAATGTTAGTGAAAACCAGAAGTCAATATGTTCTGCATGCATGAATTGTTCATGTCTTTATATGAAATTTCCAGCAAACTTAGCAAATTGGAAAGACAGAAAAGAAAAATGAGATACACAATGCCAAAGACAGCTCACGGATTTCAGATGCTTTCAGGCCTACCTGGTATACAACATGATCAACATAACAAAGCAACCATTGATTACAGCTCTTGAGATAAATGTTATTGGAATGCAACAGCATGTACTTGCTACTTTTAAGCTGTCAAATAAAGCCAAGAAGGGGGATGCTGGGTGCAAGTTCAAATTCTGGTTGTTATTTCCAACTTTTATTGCCATGAAAATTTATTTTATTATATTTTAATGAGTAAATAATGCCTATATTAGTACTGAGGCACCTTAAAGACAATAAAGTCTAAAAAGCATAAAACCAGTCAGCCACAGGGTAATTCAGCTGTGAAATGCTGCTCTCTTCCCTACCTTTGGCCATCTGCAGAATGCAGTCCTCTTCAAAGAGGTCTTTTGCAGCTGGCCTAGAAAATTGCAACATACTTTTCACCCAAACACAGCTGGTGAGTTCCTGATAGAAAATGCTCAAAAACATGTCTATCCAAAGAAAAGGCAAGTTTGAGTAGCTTAGCAGGATGCTACAGTGGAAGGACAGACAGTGGTGAATGTCTCTGTGCCCACTGCCTGTCATACAGCATCTTCAACTCCAGAAACAGGGAAGCAGTTCCTAACAGCTCCTGTGCCCAAAATGGGCAAGTGCACAGTGAGACATGATGGGTTGAGGTTCCACTGTTAGTCCTAACCCATACTTAACCCCTCCAATTGCTGGTGCATTACTTGCATCAGATTCTTTTCTGAACTTGTCAAGAAATGTCTGAAGCAGAGAGGTGTCTGAGCAGTCACAAGTACTGATAATTCCTGGTTTGCTGAGAAAAGCAACTCATTAGATAAGATAACTTGTTAGGAAAACAAGAGTGACAAAAAAATCCAGTCTTGTTAAAACAAAAGAAATTAAGATGTGGATTGCTACTGGTGTTCTTAACACAGGAGTTACCTTCAGTATGGTTCATTTTTGTTGATTATTTTGTTCCCTTCTAAAGTAAGTATCAGGGAATCTACACAGACCTTTTTAATCCTAATGTTGAAGCTGTACCACTTTCAATTATGACTTATCAGGACTCACAGCTCTGCAGAAATGTTTCTCACAGGAAAACAGGCTGAAGGACCAAAGAGACCATAATACAGCAAAATAACCTCACAGCCTGTGAGACCACAATTCTGTTCACTGGTATACAAGGAGCATTTTTTTGTTCATAAACCTTCTCTATGACTTTATATGCAATACGATTGTTTAAACAAAAGGATTTATTCTTTACAATCTATTAATAATACAATGTATCCTCCTTATGATGCGTATAAGTTTAATTAGAAAACTATAACTGCTTATAATTTATCCAAACTATGTAACTAAAGAGGATAGGCACCCAGCCTTGAGTGTTTAAATGATGCATTAAAAGCTTTCAATCAAAATTTACTGTGGATGTATTTTTTTGCATTTTCTCACAAAATACATAATTTCAGAAAAGTTCACTGCTACTGGAGCCTACTACAAAATGCTTCTCTGGTTTTTTTCTCCCGCAATAACACTAGGATTTCTCCTAGTAACACAAATATGTGATTCATGATGACATAGAAAGGAGACTTTCAACAACCTTTTAACTTCTATGCCTATGACCCTCTGCCACAAAGGAAGGTGATGGCACATGATTTTGTCAGGGAACTCAGGAAGCTGCAAGACTGCACAGTAAGGATAATCTTTCCTCTACTCAAATCACTGTTTCAATTGGACAAGTAAGGTAAAAATCACCTGACAGCACATGAGCATTTAATAGGCTGTACAACAGAAAGGGATCATTTGACTGAGCTTGTACAAAACAGGAATCCAGATAAAACCAGTTATTTGTTCTGGTGGTTTCAACAGTGAGGAAGAAGACATCACAAACTGAGAAAACACTATGTGTCTTCTTCCTTTACATCACTAGGAGCCACAATCTCTAGGGCATCCTTTCCACTACAACTGTGTCCATGAAGAAGGAACCTTCCACTTCCAACGTTAATCTTTTGAAAGACACCACTCATAATCCCATTTGTTTTCAAAGTCCAAGCTCTGAAACACCTGGTAAAATAGAATTAAAGGGAACACAGTATTTCAGAAATAACTTTAAAAACACATTCAGGTAATAAATATCATGTTTGGATTATTCACTTATATTTCAGATAAGCAATTTTTAAAAGTTTTTAAATATCTCAATAATAGGTGTCACTAATGAAACTAAAGAAATTAATCTTAGTCCACAAACTGTCACAGGAACTATTATCTTCACTATTTCTTTAAACAGTTCAAGTCACAACTTGGGAAATACATACTTAATATCATCACCATATGAAAGTTTTTTGAGTCTGCAGTCAACTGAACCAAGAACAAAAGAAATTATGTCTCAAAATAATAACCTCATGGTCAGGAATCTCAATGTAAAGCACATCAACAAAGCTGTTATTTATTTTTATAGGCATTCTTTGGGCTTTCTTGCTAAGCCTGGCAACAAGTTGCCTATTATTAGGATCAATTTCCTGACTTCATTGTTAGTTGTGTTCTTCCCTCTTCATCTGTGCTGGTTTCAGAAACTGCTTTGTAAGAAAGGGCAAGAAAATAAAAAGTGGTTAAAGTTGAGCCATTTTTATGTGGGCAGGTCAAGCCATCTTGTGTACATTAAGTATTCCCTGGACCAGCTACTGTCACAGCTACTGTCTGGTATTTGTTATGCTAACTCCTCCCGGACTGAAAGATGTGTAAATCACCATGCATATTCCAAATGCAGGAATACACAATCTTCTGGCATAATTTAGTTTTCTCTTCAAAATCAAATCAAATCAAAGAAAAAATGTTCTTACACACAAACTCTTAAAAATTAAAATTTCCCAATGAGAATTTGGGAAAATGTCCACAGCAAATCAAACCACTGCACTCACATAACACGTTTTCATGCTGGAGACAAGGTTTTCAGCATGTGGACAGTCATCCTGCCATTCCCCATGGCACTGTGGGCCAGGGAGTGCCAAGACAGTGGGGAGTTCCCCATCACCTTCCAGCTGCAAAGTGTGGTGCCAGCGCAGAACTGACACGGTCTGGCAGGATTAATTATTTCCATCATAGCAACAACTCTGCTTTAATCATCATGCACACCACTAGCTACAGTAGAAGATAATCTTTATACATTAAAAATATAAGCACAAAGTTAAAGTCCTTTCTAGCCTGAAATATTGATGAACTGGGCTTTCTACTGACATCTGACAACTCTCTGAGGTTGGTACCTGAAAGGATGCTGTAGCCAGTTGGGGATTGCCGTCTTCTGTCAGGCAACAAGTGGACAGGACAAGAGAAATTAGCCTCAAATTGTTCCAGGGAAGGTTTAGGCTGGACATGAGAGAGAATTTCTTCCCAAAAAGCGTGATTAGACATTGGCATGGGCTGCCCAGGGAGGTGGTGGAGTCACCCTGAAGGTGTTAGAACTGGGCAAAGGCACTCAGTGAATGGCCTATTTGACATGACAGCGTTTGGTCACAGGTTGGACTCGATGATCTCAGCGGTCATTTCCAACCTAGCTGATCTAGTGCTCTGTATTGTCTTTTCTAAACCTGCACCGATGTGCAGCAGCAGGGCCTCAGTGGGCAATAAGAAACCGTGAGAAGCAAGTCTCCACAAGTTTACACGAGTAGGTTTCCGACGCCCAGACAAACAGCATGGACAGCGTAACAAGCCAGCACTTTGCAGTGGCTCTGAAGCCAGTGACATGTGTCCTGACACTCCAGCAAAGGTTTAAGCTGCTGTTCGCGGCAGCACACACGCACAGCCCAGCGCAGGGAGGTTTGACACCTCCCAGCCCAGCAGTGCCGCGCTGACCGCGCCGGTCTGCCCGTGTGCGAGCCGTGGGCACCGGGAGGGAAGGGCAGCAGCGAGGCGGGCGGAGGCGCACGGAGCCGACGGGCACTCACCGATCGTGGCCATGTACGAAGTGGCAGCAGAGCCGGCGGAAGACGAGCCGGGCTCCGTGTAGCTGCGCACGATGGAAGTCTTCCCCACGCAGGACTCTCCGGCCATGACGATTTTCACCAGCAGCGGCCGCGGCTCCCC